TGGATCTATGCAAAGCAAAACAGTTAGTATTAATGCATCTGTTACTTAGGAAAATATACATACGTAAGAAATTCAAATAATGATATTTTTTGTTCAGGCTCTAGAGGAAAAAGAAAATTTGATACGTAGTACAACTGATTTTTCTAAGACATAAAAAGCATGTTTGACAAAAATTGGGTGCCGTTAATGACATACAGATTTTTTTAAATATTTAAAAACTGGGGGAAAAGGCGGAAAAGAGTGGTTACGTCCCTTTTTCCCCCATTTTTAAATACTCAAATCTGTATCTCATTAACCACTCCCGAGTCTTTTGTCAGATATGCTTTTTGTGTCCTAGAAAATCAGTTGTGCATCGAAAAATTTGCTTCCTCCAGAGCCCGGTTTAAAACCTCAACAGTTGATTGATATCTTTTTATTGATCAATTAAAAGTGCACACTCTGTGTGCAGTAACATTATAACAAAGTTATAAAAGCAAAGTTCATCACTATGAAGATACAGTGATATTATTTCCTTATACTGTTGTAATTTGTAAACTATTTTTGTTGTAACTTCTTTATTAAAATTATTTTGTAATAACTTCAGGTGAAATATGGAGCCAAACCAAATAAAGTATCTCTGAAGGTTACCCCACAAGGTATAGTGCAGACGGATGTTGAAACGGAGCAAAGCACATTAGAAGTATCTATATACAGGTAATTTGATACAGTGTATCTGTTTATCGACAATTAAATGCTAAATGCTGTTGATTAAATGTTATTGGTACGAAAAGAAATAATAATAATAAGTTTAAAGTTTTTTTGTGGTTTGTTTATACTTATTTACTTTGCCAGCAGAAAACAAATGTCTGTATAAGCCTAAAGTACAAATAAATGTACTGTACATGATTTCTGGTCTTTAAGTTAAAGATCTAAGCTTAAAACTAATTATGAGTATTTACAAGGATTCCTGTAAAATAGACAAAGTGCTGGTTTGAGTTGAAAGAGGATGAGTTGACGGAAGTGAATTGTCTGTCATTCATTTGTTATCGTATGGTATCTTTCCATGAAATGTAAACAACCTGAACACAAAACACATTTTAAAGAGCATTCCGATTGAAAGCAATTCATATGAAGCCTCTGGCATTTACCAAAACAAAAATATTTTTCCAAATAATACTAGAAATTGCAAATTGCAAGTGAAGTGCTGCGAAGTACAACTGCATATAAATGTTCTTCGAACAAAATTATTTATGCGAGTCAAGTGAAAATAATGAAAAATAAAAATATAACAAAAACCCATTGTCTATATTAGAACACTTCTCATTGGGTAACAAAGTCGTAATTTTTCATTTTTGTCAAAAAGTGTCTATAGTGGTGAATTATGGTTTAGGGTTTTTTTTAATAAAGTTTCAAAAATTTCTATGTACAGTATGTGGAAAATGTAGTTGATTACCAAAGTTTACAATTTTTATTTTGATGACTGCATGGTCTAGGAAGTGTACTTTCTTTTAATGGGGCAAGTTTCTAAGGGCGAGTTTTCTAGGGGCGAGTTGACTGCCAAAGAGTGTTGCCAAAGTGCGAGCCAGCGTGTTATTTGATCACAAGTGCGAGACATCACAAGTGTGAGCCAGCGAGCCATGACGT